GAGACGCTGCCCTCCCTCCATCCTCTCATTCTGCTAAAACATTTTCTCTCATGGCTCCTTTGTCTCAGACTGGGAGGCTCGGATCGACAGCCATGGGAGGATCTTCTTTGTGGACCACGTGAACAGGACCACCACGTGGCAGCGTCCCACCGGCCCCCCCGCCCCACAGGGCCTGACCCGCTCCAACTCCATCCAGCAGATGGAGCAGCTGAACCGCAGGTGATGAATGACAGGATTGAAGGTTCTGCTATAGATGATTATTCTGAGCTAAACGCGTCCTCGCGCTGTTCCCCTCAGATATCAGAGCATCAGGAGAACCATCACCAACAGCGACCGAGCAGAGGAGAGCTCCTCTGACCTCCTCCCTGAGGCAGAGGGGGAGCTGATGCCTCACTCCGTTCCTGGTCAGTTCAGCTCTGCAGGGTCTCGGCTTGACATGAAGGTTCTGCTGTGTTTGTCCCAAACTGCCACCGCTCTCCTCCATCTGTTGCAGAGTACCGTCGAGAGAGCGCCGTGGCCCCCCCCAGCGGCCGCTCGCGCCTCTCCCTGCTGCTGCAGTCGCCCAGCGCCAAGTTCCTGTGCAGCCCTGACTTCTTCACCGTGCTGCATTCAAACCCCGTTAGTAACGCCATCATCCCCCATCTGATCCAATTACCTCCCAGCCGCCATGGAAGCCATTTTCTCAGCGTTGGGCTGGAAGCACTCATAGCTGCGTTCTGTTAAAACCTCTTAAAATCTCTGATTGGATGATCTGTAGTTAAGCTAACGGCTGCTTACGTTTCTGCCTCCTGCAGTAGCTGGGATGAAAGATGTTTGAACCATGTCTTTATAAAAACAGCTTTAATAACTTTATGTGGATTAATGTTTTAACAACTCATCTGTTTGTCTTGATGCATCATTGATCTGATCACTCTCAGCCATTTTCCTGCTAAGCTCAAACATTTAGGATAACTATAAAAAAGTTCCAGGTGTATTTTCAGGTCTATCATCCAGATCTGCAGATGTTTGCTAGTTTTACATCATTTCATTCTTTCGTTTCTCTTTAATTCTCCAAACTAAGATCTAAGGTGATCTTCTGACCGCCGTCTTTGAAATGTTCGCCGTCTCTGAGTCAATGAGTCGATGCAATCAGCTGGTTTTCCTTAGATAGAAAACTTTAATCAATCTGACTGGATGATCTGGTTGATCTGGATCTATAAAGATGAGGTGTTGTGAATTAGCTCTATAGAAATAAAGTAATAGAAGTGAGTTATGCTGACCCGATGTTCTGTCTCTGTCCTTCTGGTCCAGAGTGCCTACCGCATGTTTACGAGCAACACCTGCCTGAAGCACATGATCAGTAAGGTGCGGCGAGATGCTCATTACTTTGAGCGCTACCAGCACAACCGTGACCTCGTCACCTTCCTCAACATGTTCTCCAACAAGCAGCTGGAGCTCCCCAGAGGCTGGGAGATGAAGCACGACCACACCGGGAAGGTGGGTCTCTGCCGCGTCACAACCTCCCACCTGGGTCACTTAGCTCTACGTCTCTGATTTAGCTGGACTAACATTTTTTTCTGGGGCTGATTGTCAGCCTTTCTTTGTGGATCATAACTGTCGATCGACGACCTTCATCGACCCCCGCCTGCCCCTCCAGAGCTCCCGATCCACCGGGCTTCTGGCCCACCGCCAACACCTGAGCCGCCAGCGAAGCCACAGCGCAGGAGAGGTGAGACAGAGCAGACGGGTAACCAAGGCGACACTTCTGTAGGCCGTCCACATCAGACCCACTGTGCATCAGTAGATGTCCCATAAGTTCTGTTATAGAAACGCTAGTCCATAACGATGGCTGGATCATCTGGCAGCGATTTATCGACCATCCAGAAGATCTGGAGGTTTAATCATAATAGACCTACACCAAATAGACCTTCACCATATAAACATTCACTTTATAGACCTTAACCATATAGACCTTTATTATATAGAACTTCACCATATAGACCTACACCAAATAGACCTTCACAAATTATACCTAGCCCATATAGACATTCACTATATAGACCTTAGCCATATAGACCTTTACTATATAGAACTTTACCATATAGACCTACACCATATAAACATTCACTTTATAGACCTTAACCATATAGAACTTCACCATATAGACCTACACCATATAGACCTACACCATGTAGACCTTCAACATATAGACAAAACCAGATAGACCTTCACTATGTAGACCTATAAAATATAGACCTATACCATATAGACTATAAAATAACCAAATGAATTTTTTACATTACCGTAATTTCTGAATATACGGTACAGACCAAAATGTCCCAAATATATCACATATTTTTGCAAAGTAAAATAAAAAGGTACAGAATCTGTGTATTCGTCGGCCATGACAGGTGGTTACCATGTCAACCAGTAAATTATTTGCAGGGATGACATCATCATCACTGAGGCAGATTGGTGCGGCGTCTGCTGTGAAGCGGGCCCTGTACCTGTGTTATTGTGGCCCTCGGTTATTGTGGCCCTCGGTTTATTGTGGCCCTCGGTTTATTGTGGCCCTCGGTTTATTGTGGCCCT